CTATTAACTATATTACAGAACTATTTTTCAAAAATATCATCTGTGAGATTCAAACTCTAGACCTGCTATCTGGAGATGTAACAACTTCACTACTTTACTAAGTTGCTACACCCTTAAATCAAGCTAATAACTAATGAACTACCTATTTATTTTATTCTATATAACAGATATCTTTTGAAATATACAAATTTTTTTTGTACAAAATATCTTAATTAAGTAGAAAATATTCTATATATACTCTTATACCCTGCCAATACAACACTTCTTAAAAAAATTCTAACTCAAATAATAAACCAAATCTGTAGCAAATACTAACTAATCACTCCCAATTTAAATTTCTTTACAGAAAACTATATTGAATTTTATATTTATAAATAACTTTCTTTAAATATTATTTAAGACTATACTACTAGACTATTTTGTATGATAAGAAACAATACAAACTTGGTATCTGAACTATATTACAACATAATTTAAACAATCCAAAAGGCGATATAAAAATCAAGTAAACAAAACCTACAAACAACTCTATAATACAATTAAACTATAACCATTTAAACACAAAACAATTATCAAAATTATTTCTCAATACCCACTTTATTACTTGGTTGCAACAATTCATTATCTATAATTATTACAACCCCAATAGTATAGTCTAGAGGTCTTGACTCTTCTAGCTAAAAATAGGTCAAAAGTAAATTTTAAAAATAAATAGCTCTAACCTCTTATTTCTCTATATAGAAATATATATTTTTACTATGTAATCCAATTATATTTATAATAAAGAGAATAGAGAAAAGACCTCTCTTAAAAAAAAAAAAAAAGTAAAAACAAACTATAAAATATACAGTACATTTTATTTATTATTTCAAAAAACAAATAGCAAGTAGTTTTATTTATTTCATATTCTGTACAAATACAATATTGTTTAAATTTGTAATTGTTAATAAATCATGGCATTGTGCAACTTTTTTTATTTGTTAATTTAATTTTGGTTTTAAAATTTTGTATTATAAGAATTTATAAATTATACTTGTATTTCATACACTAATATAAGCTTAAATTTTTTTAAAAAAATAACTATATATTAAATCAATAAGCAGTTTGAGTTTACCGTGGTTATGCTATAGTACGTATTTACGGTTATGTCACATAATTTAATACATATTAACGTTAAAGATATTATATAATATATAATTATGTTATGATTATGTTATGGTAAAGATATGTATTATATTTAAATATGAAACATTGGTGTAATATTGAGGTAACAATGTAATAATAATCTTAAGTCGAAAATCACATCGCGAAGGTATAAACCATTTCGCCGACAGTTATTTCACTGATAAAAGTTTGCTTGATTTAGATTAAAGTTTATAGTTCTGTAGTTAGGGTTGAGCTATATTGTAGATTGTCGGCGAAACGGCTGTCGATGAATTTTACCAGAACCTAATCGTAAATGAATTACGATCATGTGATCGTGATTACTTAAATTAACGTTAACGTTCAAATAATAGCGATAGTTGATGCGAGTAAAATAATTATGGCGTAAAAATTTGGTAATAAGATCAAGTGTAACACAAATCCAAAGTAAAAAAAAAAAAAAAACTTTGATATGAAAACTAGCTTTCTATTATTTTTAATTAAAAGTTTTTTCGGCACATGAATTTTAAATATATCATTTCCAGATATTTTGCAGAACCGCCAATTTTTGTGGGGGTGTAAAAATATAAACAAGGGTGTAAAAATTTTACTGAACTAGAGAAAAAAAAAATTGCACAATATGTAATAAACTTGAGTATAACTCATACGTATCTGGTATGAAATAATAATTATCGTTATATATATTTTTATTTTTTTTTTATAATTGAATAATAATGCTAGTCTTAAGATATATATATATTAAAACATAGTATATACCATTGCACGTTAACCTATTTATAAATGAAACTATCTTTTTTATACCAAACATTTTTTTAAAAAAAATAAAGATAAAAACACATTACATTAAAATAATAATTCAATTGAGCATAAGAATATTTATTTTCCATACATAAAAGAAAATTTTTTTTTCTTTCTCAATAAAATTAGCCTATCCTAGCGCTAGTAATGAATAAGAGGTTGTTATAGAGAGAAAGAAAAAGCATACATAATTTTTTTGGTTAAAATACGTAATTTTGAAGATATATAAACATATAGAATATATATGTATACTGTATATCTTCTTTTGAAAAAAGTGGTTTTTTTGAATCATGGATAGGGTAGTGGGAACATACATATATACGGGGGGATGGGAAGGGGAAAAAAAAGTAATATATGAATAATATTTTTTTCATAACTACAAAGAAAAAAAAAAATATTTAATATATGATACAAAGAGAAAAATATATATAGATCGTTCATGTATTCGAAAATTCAGCGGCATACTTTTTGAGCGCCAAGGACAAAAGAAAAGGAGGTTGATATTTTATATATATAAAAAACCTCCATTTTTATATAGAAAGGGGTCAAATAACTATGTACAAAGAAAAATGAAATACACAAATGAAACAATCGACACTGAAATAATAAAACACAATTTAGGGTGTCTTCAATGATTTGTTTTTTATATATATATATACGAGACAAAAGTCTCATAAATGGTGAACAAAAATGAATAACTTCATATTTGTCTTAAATTCGGGTAAAGGGGAGGGAAAGTTCTATCGATCTTTTTTCACATCACTTCTCACATCAAAAAAGTGCAAATAAACAAAGAGACTTTGTATATTCACACATGTCATATCACTTCCAAGGACAGAACAACGATATGTTACTTCAACCATTTGCCGTCACCGAAAATAGCTATTCATCACAGGGGAAATTGTAACAATTCACGGTCGTTGAATAGCTTTATCGCATTGAAGAGCAAGAGTTTTCATATTATCTACGGAATGACATAAATCGTCATAATCCATATGGAACTCTGGTGTATATCTCTTTAGCTCTAATTATATTTAAAAAAAAAATTATGATTAATATATATGAATAATATATATATATATATATATATATTTTATATTCGTATAAAACTATTATGTAATCAAAGATTTAAAATACCTTGAAGTAAGAGGCAATATCTCGTAACACGTTGTATTGGCATTATCATATAATCAGAAAGGATGAGACGATTTGTATCTTGTTTGCTCTGTGACTATATAATCAAAAATACATATACATAAATTAAATTATAAATATATATAAATAATTAAAAACACAAGAGATTTTGTTAAAGACATACTTGTAAAATCTTTCGATATAAAACGTTTTCATTAGCACGTTTAATTGCCGACCTACTTTGTTGATGATTTTCTGCATATAATAATAATGCTTCAAAATAATGGCTGTATTTTAAAAATACTTCGCCAACCATGGATTCAGATTCTTGCCATGGATCCATACTACTTTCAAGATCTTCTACAATTAAAGTAGACAATTGTATAAGATCATCTACATGAGCAAAGATTGCCTTAATGTCATCAGGATTAACTAATGGATTAGACTGTTGAGCAGCATCGATGAATGGATCCATAAATATCTAAAAAAAAAAATTTCAAAAAAAATTTTTTAGAAATAAAAAGTTAAATAAAAAGCAAGTAAGCGTGTATAATAAAAATATAAATTATACCTTTTTAAGTTTTTTTAAATGTTCTAAATAACTTTGTTCAGTTGAATAAATTTCACAAGCAATAAATTTTCTCATTTGACTTGATCTAGTCGCAACATCAGTTTCTTTTTCGGCATCCGCTTGAAGAGCAAATATATCTGCAGGTAAAGCTAAAGTCGGTGGATCTTTTACTACAACAGTATCTTCATCAACACTCACATTAGAATTTCTATTTTTATGAAGATGAATACGAATTTCAGATTCAGCAACAAGTTGTTGATTTGTTTTTAGTGAATTAGTATAAGCATAAGAATTTCGACGTTTTGCATCAAGAGCACGCTTTCTTGAAAATAATAAGCCTCTAAGATGTACTTCTATATGAGTCCAACTACGTCTAATATCACTATTAACATTTAAATCATTATTTGAAGAGCACCTTTTATGTTGTGAAATAGGAATCGATGGAGAATCAGTAGTGATAGGAGATTCACATATCGTAATATCACTTGTATCGGTTACAAAAGTAATATTATTGAAATCAGAACTTGAAGTGTCTATGATTCTCTTTAAAGATGAATCAGGAGGGGAAGATACAGGCCTAGAATCCACTGAACCACGTTTTTTACGAAAATTAAATTTCTTTGATGAATCTTTAATAGAATCTTCACCAACTTCTTTATATATTAATTCATTAAATGATTTTGACCGAGAACATCGACCAGAAGAGCTTTTTGGAGAATCTTTAATTTTTTTTTCATCGATTTCATATTTTAAAAGGCTTAAAGTTCGAATCATAAGTTTGTTGCAATTGTTGGTAGTAGAAACGTTATCTTGACTTTTTTCGGAATCTTTTTTCTTGCTTATCCTACGTTGTATATTTTTAATTGCTGATGATTTACGAGTACAAGGTTGTGGTAAAGTCTCACACTGACTATTATCTACACGATTAAAAATATTGAGAGAAAAAGAAAACATTTTAATACATGCGATAAAAAAAAAGTATATATATATAAATATATATATACTTTTTTGAAAAAAAAGTTGACTGGCAGCTGAGGACGAATAGAATAGCAGGGATAGCGATAAATATTTTTAAGTCGATAAAAAAAAAAAAAAAAAAAAAAAGTAGGTTTACAGGAGGTGGATTATAAAGTAGTTGTTCAAGTAACTAGCCATGTGAGATGGGCTAAGCGAAAATGATGATAATAAAATATAAGTGGTTATCAAAGTGTTTAAAAAGTATAAATGGTATTAAGTTATATCATGATAATATTGAAAGTACTATCCGATGAATATCATTGACTACAGTTCGCGCCAAAAGGGCAAATAATTTATTGCGTAATTCATCAAACCACTAGACTATCCGTATTGCTTATGTCAACTTTTGATAAAAGTCTAATAAATTTTATAGAAAAAAAGTTAAGATCAATCAAAAAATAATACCTACCATTTAACCTAGATGAATTTGAATCAACAACATTATTCATAAGGTTATCAAGTTGAGGAGACTTATTTGAAATGGTAGCAAAGCTTTTTTCGGTTATTTCTTCCACCCAACTAATAGAAGAAATAGAAGGTCTAACTTTTGTAACTTTTGTAGAAGATGATAATATTGACTTTTTTTTTTTTTTTTTTTTTTAAGAATAAAAATTTAGGTTAGTATCAAAATTAATATAATAATAATAATAATAATAATAATAAAAGATAATAAATAACATAATAATCGATAGGGAAAAGACGCTTACCTTATTTGTAAATTCATCAGATTTTATTGCATGATGTTGAGACGATTGAGGGATATCGGTAGTAGTATCGAGGGGTTCGTTATCATTATTGGTTTTTGATATTATGTGGCCATTTTTATTAGTACTAAAATGAATAAGAATAAGAAAATATAAAAAAAAAGTTTATTAAAATTCGTAACAAAAATATAGAATAATATAAAACATTGGTTTAAATAAAGAATCAGAAGGTAAAGATCGTTTAAATAAAATAATAAATAATTTTTTTTTTTTTAATACATACATTTCAGGATTGTTATTATCATCATCAATCATCATTTCCAGGGACCGGAGAGAATTTGAGGTTGACGAAGGAGAAGTATTATCGGTATTATTAGTAGCACAGGAGTTACAAGACGATATACTAGAACAAGAGTTTGACCTCGAACAAACAACTTTATTGGAAGAAAGATTTTTTCCAGGTTTAGAAAGGTCTAATTTTGAATCATGAAATTGACGTTTTGTCTTTTCATTATTATTTAAATGATGGTTGGTATTAGAAGTATCAGATTTATGATTTGTTTTTGAAGCAGCATCCACAGATTTTTTTGATATAGCAGACACGAAAGGTCGCCATATAGTTCTTTTTATAGAAGGATTAACTGAATTGTTGTTTGTTGGTTTAGTTCCAGATTGTTGGGATCTAGCGGTTGGTAATGTAGTGGTTGGCATTATTACACCTTTTGTCACCTTGTAGTACCCACTAATAAAGAGAATAAATTTTTGAGAAGAAAAAAATCGAAAGAACGAAAGTCTAATAGTTAGGGCACTACGCGGTTATTTATCAGTTTATTGATAATTACAAAATGAAATCGGCGTAATTGAAATCGGGCGTAATTGTTTGTTGACAAAAATCCAAATAAATTTTTTCGAATAATTGATATGTTGGTCGGGTATACAGTACAAGAACAAATAAGATTCCTAAAGAAATATAATTTTTTTAAATGAAAATGAATATAAAAAAAAAAAAAGGAAAGGAAAAAAAAGGGAATCTTTTCCTTTTTTTTTTTTATCTTAAACAATAAGGTTGAAGAGAGAAGGGAAAAAAAAGTCTATTTCTAGCTTCAAAGCAGTCACAGCTAGATATATGTAGATATTCTATATTAATTATTTTATACTGTATATATTTCTATACTTTTTAAAAAAAAACTGCACCAAGTCCCAGTTGGCACCATGAAAATTTAAAATTAGACAAATATGTTTGGCGACAAAAAAAAGATTAAAAAAAGTAGAAGAACAAAAAAGCCAGAATTTTATTGAAAAGCGCAATAATAAAGTATTTATGCTATTCCACCGGTGAAAAAAAAAAAGAACTCACTCGAGAGTGAATACAATATATATATAAAAAAATATACAACCGTATAACAGATAATGTTTATAGTGTCATTATAATGTACTTAATGTATTATAATATAATAATATAATATACTATCATATACTATCATATACTATCATATCATATACTATAATATACTATAAAATATACAGTGTGCATAAATTTCTTGAAATGAAAGCACCCTTACTTACAACTGTCGAATAATGCAATAAATGAATCAATCGCAATGATTGTAAAACAGTTCAATCATACGCTACAGGAATAAATGTCAAAAAGATATGTTGTGAAACAATAGCATACAGTATCTGGTATAGCATTATACCCAAGTACAAAATTATAATATATTATAATATAAATGCATTAAATCATAAATGCGCGCACATAAATTCATCATCAGTAACTATTATTATTCATACAGTAAAAAATTTTGCTTGTTCTGATAACAATGAACCGATGCCGGAAAATTAAAGAAAAATAAGGATAGTACTTCCTCAGTATTTGACTAAACCTTTGTTAAAAAGTCTAACCAACTTTCATACAAAGAGTATTCAATCATACGTAATATAAACACGTGATATTCAAGATTCTAAATAAATCTAAGCGGTTAGACCATTTACCCGGATTTTGTTATTTCGTTTCAAAAAAATTGAAAATAAAGAAAATCTATAATTATGTTCTTTGAAAGCTTTGAAAGCTTTGGAGCTTTGGAAGCTTTGGAAGCTTTGAAAGGTGAAACATTTTCTCCATCAAGGAGCTAAGATTTGGGAAATAACATTTTGTCGTTTACCACCGCATAATCATATGCAAAAAAAAAAAAACGGACAATTGTTCACCGAGAATGAATTTTTGAGGGTCTAACGCATAAAAAACAATGGTTGTACACCATTTGATGGTAATCACCAGACTTGTCCCGGTTAATCGGGCTCAAAGATCGAAGAATTTTTTTTTTTTTATATATAACACCATAACACAATAAAAGTACTATTTTTTATTTTTGGAAACCATTAGATTTATAAAAAAAAAACAAAAAATCAAAAAACTACCAGAACAGTATACTTGTGATTGAAATCGAAGGTAAATTAAACAGGCATTGAAGATCATTTCTTGAATTTTTTTTTACATAAATATTTACAACCCAAAAAATTTTTTTAAAAAAGCTGCGTATGTCTTTATTTAGATTATCATATAGGACTTCTTTTTGACGCTTGGGCAAATGTATAAATGTGAGAAAAAAAAAAAAGTATTTGATTTTTTAGAATAAATTAGATAAATTTAAAGAGTAAGCATTGCATTATAAGTAAGACAAAATTAATAGAAATAACCATCAAATATGCTGTTCATTTGTTTGTGTAATCACTAACCTTTTCTTTTTTCACTAAACCTTTTTAAATAATTGATTAGCGAACCAATAAACATATTTTTGAAGAGCGAATATATGCGAAGAATACTTGGTTCTCACGAAACTGACACAACATAGGATAGAGAAAAAAGTATTAAAAAAATAATGAGTAAATATTACGTTATTAAATTATTTAGATTATTTAGATTATTTTATTTAGATTATTTTATTTAGATTATTTAGATTATTTAGATTATTTATTTAGATTATTTATTATTTAGTTATTGACCGAATTTTTAAAAAATCACCAGATAATCATATCAATAAATTCTTAACTGAATGGCTGTGATAGCCAACTAAACATTTTTAGGGAATATATTTTTTTTTCGATTTATACGTTAAAGGTTATTTAATCATTTTTATCTGTTAAAATGGTAATCCAAAAAACGCCTCCATACATGTGTTACAAGTGCAACCTTCTATAGAAATTTTCAATGAGTTTTTTTTTTTTGTTTGCAATAGTGAATCAGTTATCAACCGTAGTTTATCTTTTACTATAATGGATATTATCACCGACATAATTTACTGACGTTTTTACTATATTACTTTAAGTACTCCTATTATTCTTATTATCATTGCTATTATTGTTTGCGATGCATTTAACAGTTTCATTCTCTCCGGAATTCCGGAATTTAGGTCGGAAACCTGCATTACCTGTCTACTTTCAAGTATATCACCAATGGATATTCATTGATGACTAAATACTGAAATAGTAACCATAAACAATACTGCGACCTTTTTTGAAAAAGATTAAACATTCCATTAGTAGAATCTTACGTTTAAAAAATCACCAGATGGTAGGTACGTACGTATGTACTGTACGTACGTACGTACGTATTAGTACATTCCAGATGGTATGTTTAAAAAACCATTAGATGTTAATAAAACAAGAATGCTTTGTTTGTTTTTATTTTGTCAACCAACTTTTTAACGCCATTTGCTTTAATTTCATTTTAAGTGCCTAATACGACTTTTCTATGTAACTACCTACCCAGTTATTACTACCTGATTCAAAAACAAAAAATAAAGATCGACATGTGAGATTTTTTTTGTAAGCGTAAGGTTTATTTTATGCTTAAAAAACAAAACTACTTTCCTTCTAAATCAAAAAATCTCTTAAAAAAATTTAGTTGTTTGCTTAATTTGGGGGGTTTTTTTTTATATATCATTTTCCTTAAGGTGATTACAAGTCTTTGTCTTGTTTCTGTTTGAAGTCTTTACGAATAATTTTACGAATAGTTTTACGAATAGTTTTACGAATAGTTTTACGGATAATTTTACGAATAATTTTACGGATAATTTTACGGATAATTTTACGGATAGTTTTACGAATATGAAATAGTTTTAAGAAATATACAGTTTGATGAAATAGTTTGATGAATAGTTTGATGAATAGTTTTACGACATAGTCTTACGAATAATTTAATGAATAGTTTTTTTACAATTACAGAATTAGACTAGTCTTACAAATAGTTTTACAAATAGTCTTACAATGGTTTTACATATGGTTTTACATATGGTTTTACAAAATAGACTGTTCAAAATAACAATGTTAATCGAGAACATCCAATAAGCATTTAAAGAATGTTCAATGAACAAAGATTATATTAAAATATTAATTAACGTTAATAATCACATAACGATAATACGTACGTAATAACGTACGTAATAAGCATAAAATAAAATATAATAAAAAGCAGAAAAGGACGCATTAATGAACCTTTTCTATTTGTAAGTCAATCGAAACCTTTTTGCGAAAAATTTCGGTGATCAATTCGGTGATTAATAGTGTGGCTGTACATGTATGGTTTTTGATGGTTAGTACATATCTGATATGTACATACGTACGTGCGTAAGTAAATAATTTGATATTTTCCTTGTTTATTATACGTACTTATGTACCCGTATGTTCGTTTGTACCGTATACAGTTAAATGTTATATGCACGTTAATAAATTATGTACGCCACCGGAAACATGCAATTTATTATCGATCAGTTTAACAAAATTATGTACAACTTTTCATGAAACATTCATGATTCGGAATGTAAGTAATCTTCTCCTTGTAATAATATACTTGCTATCGTTTCGTTTTTGAGCCTTTTCAAATTATAATTTTTCAATTAACTGTTAATGTGATTAAATTTGATTTAAAGGAATTTGATTTAAGGAATCTGAACACATTTTTGTTTTCCCGAATTATCAACTTTATTGTCTTGGATGCTTTATAATGGTAATAACTGAAACTGGAATATCGAATTTTTTCATAAATTGTAATATATAAATCTTGTATAAATCTTGTATAAATCTTGTTAAGAATTTATTATTAATGTTATTCTAGGGTTAAATATTTTCAAATCTTGGGATACACTGTATACACTATAGTATAAATCATCAAACCATAATCATTAAATTTTTCACATTTTTATATACATTTTATATTCACTCACATAATCGCGTCAAATGCTTAATTATGATGAAAAAAATTCTTGATCATGGGATAATATCCATCCAAAATTGGATAGTTATTATGCTGAACACAGGAATATCACCTTATTCATTACTTTAAAAATCATCCAACCGGAATTCTAACTTTCTGAATGAAACTTCAAAATTTAACAGTATATATACATTACATATTCAATTATATTGTCGATTATTGTTTATTGACGGATTTTTTAACGTGTTATTATCATATGAAAACTTGATTTATCAAAATGATAAAATTTTTTAGTAGTCAATTGTTCAATAGACCAATTGTCCAATTGTCCAATAATGCAATTGAAATGTGTTAAACTTTAAAACGAAGATGCGCGCATCTTTACAAAGAAAACACAAGCCGCGAATATGGAATACATGTTGTGTAAGTTCCGAATAAGATGTTAGATTAACAACAAAACTTTATCAGTATGCAGCTACAGTATTAACTATACAAGAAT